CCGGCTGCCGGCCGCTCACGGTAGCTTATGGGAGCCCACTGCAGCCTTGCTGCAGCCTATGTTGTTGCCAGTGACTCACGGCAGCCCAGCTCCAGGTCAAGCTGTTGTTCACCATCTTAGCTGTAGAGGGCGCAGCGTCACTGACCCTCATGTGGGATCCGCTGCTCAGAGCTTGTGCTCCCAAGCCAACTTTTAATGCGCCACACGGCCGGCCCCTGCTGATCATTTCTATGTGGAAATGCTGCCCAGATCATCTGATTTGTGTGTGTGTGTGTGTGTGTGTGTGTGTTTACAGAAAAGCTCCAAGTCTAGATTTTTTATGAAAAAGCTCCCAATTTTGAATGATTGACAACTAAGTAAAATTTAAAAAAAAATACTGAAGGCCTACAAATACATGTCTATGGGTCTCTAGTTTATGACCTGTGGTCTATAAGATAATGTAAGTAATATGATCAATTTAATCACCCACATAGCAGAACTGATAAACCCAAGCAGTCCCCCAGGAATGTTGCTCAAAAGTTGAAGACCGCCTCTTTTGTCATCCTCAGAATCTTTTATACATTTTTGACTGTTGTTAAAAGTCATGGTAACACTTCAATTTTTTAAACATGATTTTGGTCTGAAAATAACATCATGAATTTACTCTATGCCTAGATATGGAGCACATTTTACGCTAATGATATGATTTAATCTTTAAAACAGTTCTGTTGAGATAATGCTACCTGTGCACAAAGAGGTTAATAATTTAAGGTAACATTAAGGTCACATAGCTAGCAAATGGTAAGACCAGGCTGTACACCCACACAGTCTACTTAAAAATGAACATTATGCTCTAGAACCTTCTGGAAACAGTAGTTTAGTGCCCTCAAGCAGAAGAATACTGTTTGGGGCTTTAAAAAGAGAGAAAGGTAAAATAAAAGGTTGAATAGCAATGGTGAGTTGTTTGTTGGTTTTGAGGAGTTTTGTTTGTATTTTGGATTAACAGTTTGGTTTTGAAGGTAATTACAAACTAGGAATTCCAAAAATGTTTTGAGCACTGAGAGCATCATTGGAATAAGCTAATAGTATTCAAGATAATGACTGAATGGGAAAGCCTCATTTGAGAAAGTGTAAATTCTAATGGGTATGTTACAAGATGAATTTTGTTACTTCATAATTAAGACTTCTTTTTTCTTTTAGTCTTTAAATTACTCATGCAAGAATATCTTCTACAATAAATGACAGAAATGGGAAGGCTGGATGATTTGAAAATTTTTCTTTTAATACAACAGTTTACTTTTCCTCTCCCATTTTAAACTTACAGGGTGGATGAAATTAGAATTCTATCCTACTTTTCTGTTCTAAGTGATTCTTTCTTTCTTTGAACCCTAGGGAATAGTTCCAAAACAGACAGACTTTATTGGCTCATTCATCTTCATTCCTTACAGAGAATGTGTTCCCTAGAAGCAACTAACCTGTCTTTTATGCCAAATGTCCCTGGAACACCATCCTCATAGCCAGTAGCCAGGTGATCCTAGGTGATAATGGTTAAAGAAAACCCCTTATATTCTTAGGATTAACTGTTTTGTTGCAGCCTTACTTTTAAGACTTCCAAGAAAATAATTCGTTTCAAAAGTTTTATTTTGGAGGTCCTTACACCTTCACAGATTTGATATATTTTATGATCTGAAATATATTTACTAGGTGTAGGAAAACGTGCACTGATGCTCCTTTTGCTGAATTGGGGATTGTCTTGCCTAGAATCGTTGGGTAAACTTAGATTTTTAATATTAAATTTATTGTCAAAATATTTGGTTGTTTTGAGAGACAGATGTGTTTAGCTTTACAGATATTGTGATACGGATCAGAAACCGACATAATGATGTAATTCCCACGATGGCTCAGGGTGTGATTGAATACAAGGAGAACTTCGGGGTGGATCCTGTCACCAGCCAGAATGTTCAGTACTTTTTGGACCGCTTCTTCATGAGCCGCATTTCAATTAGAATGTTACTCAATCAGCACTGTAAGTGTCCAGAAGTCAAGAGAAGAAACTAAATAAAATGTGTTGGTATAGTTTAAATTTATTTAGAAAACTTCCCTTTAAGGAAAATGTTCAATTTTACTTTTTTTGAGTATTACAAAAAGTAAATAGACTGCCATACAAAGGAAGTATTTTTATTGAATGTAAAATACTATGTTTATGTTTAAGGAACATATTTGTTCTACTGTTTGGTACTATTTAGAGAAACAGTAATCAAATCTAGAAAAGGTCCTTGGGTGTTTTAGCTGATTTTGTTTGTATTTTTATATTTTATTTCTTGATAGCTTTATTGTTTGGTGGGAAAGACAAAGGAAGCCCATCTCATCGAAAACACATTGGAAGCATAAACCCAAACTGCAACGTAGTTGACGTTATTCAAGGTAAATACTTATTTCAGAAAGGATGCAGAAATCAAAATTGTTGAGTGTTAGTTCTTGCTGTTAAAACAACTATTTATATCATGAGATAAAATGTTAGGAGCAAATGTATGGGTTTGCAAATAACTTTATGTTAATTATGCCTTATGTATAGGATGAATATTTTGTTGATACAATGCTTTGTTAGGCAAAATATGGTGATATTATGAGGGTTTCTGTTTCACTTCAAAAAATTCAAGTCCCCCTTTCTTAATTCCCTATTGAGTATATGAGGAGCCATAATTCATAATAGTTTGGTTTGCATCTTTTCACACTTTTTTCTGTTTATACTGTACTCATACACATAGATGATTGTCAGTCTTAACATTGTTTGTTGTTTTGGAAAATGGGGCACTCCATGTATATTTTTCTACAAGTTTACAGACTGTACCATTTTCAGTACTTATGGCCATACCCCCAGGTTTTTGAATGGCTGTATGGGTGTATAAAAATGTATTAATTCATCTTCCTACTGATGCATATTTAGGTTGTTTTAATTTTTTTTCTATTATTAACAGTACTGCAATGAGCATCTTTCCATATGTACTGACTTTTGTTAGTATTTTAGAAGGCATGGTTCCTAGAAATAAAAACCTTTAATATGCATTTAAAATTTTGATACCCCCCCCAAAAGGCATCAAACAATGAATGAGAGTTTCTGTTTCTTAAACCTTCACCAACTCTAAATGTTTGGTATAGGTAGTATAAATAGTTTCTTCTGCCTGTTTTTCTTTTTACTTTCTTTATAGTGTCTTTTTTCTATACAGATGTTTTTATTTTTTTTTGTAATCATATCTGTCATTTTTCCTTCAGGGCTATTAGGCTTTGTCATGTCATACTTAAAAAGATCTTCAAACTAAGTTTATGAAAGTGTATTTTCTTCTATAGAAAGTTTTAAAATTTCATTTGTCAATACTGTTGCCACCTTAATGCATGAAACAGAAGTAAATTTAACGCTTTTTTTTTGTTTTGATTCATACTAGATGGCTATGAAAATGCTAGGCGTCTATGTGATTTGTATTATATTAACTCTCCTGAACTAGAACTTGAAGAACTAAATGGTAAGCCTGATGTCTTTTCCTCAGTGATCAGTGCTATGATTTACCTGGGAAGGAATGATGGAAGAATTTAGATTTGTTTTAATATAAAAGGACTTTCATCAGAAGCCCTTTTCAAAATACTTCTTCATGGGATATGAAAGCTGAAGGAGAGCAATCATGTTAAAAATATTTGTGTGTGTGTGTGTGTGTGTGTGTGTGTGTGTGTGTGTGTGTGTGTGTGTAGTTAACTTAATTGAATTTTTTCTGAAATACATTTTGGCTTTTTATTCCCCATTTTCCTTATTTTTTAATTGGAACTGTTGATTCTTTGCTTATCTTTGGTTTTCTAGTTAGTCATAGAAAAAAAAAATGATGCCAAGAAAATTACATTTGACTTTTATGTGCACTTCAGTAATGTAGGGTTTATCCTTTAAGATTTTTAATTCCTGATTTGTAAATTTTTTTTTTTTTTATTGTTGAGGAAGTGAAAAGCCTAGAGATGTAAAAGAGGGAAGATGCTCATTTGAGAATCTGTTTATCTCTAATGGTCTTTTTTTTTCACCCTGATTTGTGCCTTTTGGACAAAAAAGGTTTAGATGCCTTGGAAGGAGATTGATGAATCTCACTGTTTTTCCTCGAGTTAGGGTAGCTTGGGTGAGGGAAAAACATTTCCTACGTTAACATGACCCTTTAAAAAGAATAAAATTAAACAGGCTTAAATCTAAATCATATTCTGGACCTAATAGTGGAAGAACAGTGGAAGAAGATACCCAGTTGAAAATAGAATTGCTTGGTGTTTTTCTAAAGCTGTATTAACTCTTTTGGTCCATAATGGTATCATTCAGTAAATAATAACCACAATGTACAAGTGATAGCTTGAGAACCTGAATTACTGTGGGCAGTTTCTGATGACCTATCCATGTTTCCAAGGGGCAGTTTATTCAGAGGAGAGTCTAGTTTATTGGCTGTGTTAGAATCCTAGCGTATGGGGTGTCTTAACTCCTTTGCTCTGCTGAAGGCTCTGTTTTATGCACTATCTGCCCCATCCCCCCAGCTTTACCTGGGCTCCTATTAAACGTTTGAATGTAAAATTAGCATCCCTTGATAAATTGATACTAGTTTAAACTTTTTCTTCAGATCTATATCTATAGAAATGGCTAAACAAAAACAGAAAACAATCCACGTAGGTGAAATATTTGAAAAAATGGCTTTAAAAAAAAAGAATATGTGAGCCAGACCGTGGAATTTATAGACTGTAACATTTCTTTTTGGAAAGTAAAATTCTGACCTTAAGGTTCTGTGTCCTTTCAAAAGACTGTCATAGAGGAGAATGGGGAGATGGGTTGGTCATATTGCAAGAATGATACAGGACTCACGTTGTCCCCGTCAGTTACTAATCTAGGTGGGCACGGGGTTCAAACGCTAATACAGTGAAGAACTGGTGGAGCAGGTCTCTCCCAGGTGATACTCTCTCCTCCATAGTAAATGTTTTCTTTTCATCACTACACAGTATATTCTTTAAAATTCTGTAAGCACATCTCCCTGTACTTTTATATTTTTCTCTTCTGCTCTGTAGCAAAATCACCAGGACAGCCAATACAAGTGGTTTATGTACCATCCCATCTCTATCACATGGTGTTTGAACTTTTCAAGGTTTGTAAAATAGTATTACATAACCTTTATCAGCCCTTTCCTGAGGTTAGAAATCTGCTCTGAAAGTTAAATACTTTATCGGGGTTTCCTCGGCTTCATTCAAAGATGTCATTTTATGTTGTCATATCACATTGCAGGAGACCAGCCTTTTGTCAGCACTGATGGGCACCTCAGTGTGGTGGTAAGCTCAGACTTGGGGGCCAGCAAGACCTTGTTTGAATTCCATTGGTGCCACTTAAAATGTGTGTGACCTTGGGCAAGTCACTCAGCCTTTCTGAGCCTCAGTTTCCTCTTCTGTAAGATGAGGATAATACTATCCAGTTTGTTAAGAAAATTTGGAGTGACATACTAAATGTCCAATACAATGGCAGCACATTATAGGTGCTCAATAAAGTTCAATATTTATATTTTTACAAATCATTTAGAAGAATGATTCTCAGCTTTCCACCCTTAAGGGACCAGAGTCCCACTGATGTGTGCTTTATTATTATTATTATGATTTTTTTTGAGAGAGTCATTTACATTGACTTACAGGGCTTCTGCTGTTACGTTTGCTCTTTACAACAAATTTTGAAAATGAAATAAAATTATGCTAGTCATGTTGAGAATATTGTTTTCCCCAAAAAAACATATTAACGGACTTGCTGGTAGTCAGGAAAGTTGGTGGTGAGGAGTGGTACAGGTCCCTGTGGCTGAAAGTGACACCCTAAATCAAACCTGTAGTCTTTCTTACTTTAGTTACCATGTCTTCAGCCAGCAGGAAACTAGAAGAGAGAAGAGGTTGCTTTCAGGCTGATCACAAACAAGAAAAATACACTGAAACAGAAAAACTGACAAAATGTCTTAGAGCAGCAAGGGTTCAAGAGCACTCTTTTGTTCTAAGACAGCAAGAATATATCTAATACCTTCCAAAAATCTATCAAAGTGGTTAAATAAATAAGAATTGGCACTTAAATGATTCAAATTGCTTTTTTATTTGAAATTTTAGTCACGTAAAGATCTTGTTCCCCATGATGCTTAATGAAAGAAACACTATTATACCATATCACACAAGAGATTTTACATAATGTTGCTAGAAATGGCCTCCTTCTGGAACCTGACCTTAAGTGACCTTTGGTAGATGATGGCATCTCCTCCTCAGGGATACTCAATTCTGATGGGTGAGCCGGGGCCACACTTATTTCCCAATTCAGTCCTGTCTTGCCCTTTTAACTTTATCTAGTCTTATCAGTTTCTACTCCTGCTGCATGTCATGTTATCATTTAGTGCTCATGATATGTTGGCATTGTATACTCTGTGTCCTTTAGAAATTGATCATAGCAGTTTAACAATGTAAACATGCTTAGTTTCAAACTAGTGGTAAATTGGATTTGTTTCTACATCATAATAAGATCATTACTGTTAATAGTATATGAAAAAAAAATTTTTTTCTTAAAGCAATTTATGACAATAAAATAGAAATGAAAGTTTTCAAAAATAAGGTTTGCCTGTTATCTACTAAATATAAAAGTATTTGGATAGAATTTTCTGCTTTAGTGTAAACTAGTTAAAAGTGTTGAGACATCATCTGGTTTTGCAAAATATGCAGAATTTAGTTGGAATCTTTAAATCAAAATACCTCACAAGTCCTCCAAAACTGACTTAATAATTTTTTCAAAAGTTAATTTTTAAAATATGGTTATAAGAATTATGATTCTTTGGCATATTTCCATCAAATTAAATTTTTTTAAAAAATTTCAAGTAGTGCATATATAGTTAAAAATTATAGTTTCTCTTTTTTTTAAGTTGTATTTTTAATGTAACCCTAATGTTATTTCAGAATGCAATGAGAGCGACCATGGAATACCATGCTGACAAAGGTGTTTACCCACCAATTCAAGTCCACATAACACTGGGTAATGAGGATTTGACTGTGAAGGTAAAATGCTTTTTGTGTTTTTTTTTTCAGTTGATGTACAGGCATGCGCATAATTTCTAGAAGACTTAATTTATTCTTAGGGGAAACAAATCCTATCCCTAATAGCTAATAAGCACATTGTTTTATTTATTGATTACAGAATTATCCCTTGAGTTTGTTTTTATTCCAGTCCCTAATTCAGATGATTCAAGTTAAAGTAAATCCTGGAGACACACAATTTAGTGGTGGTCATGAATATCCATTTTGATACCCACTTTGATATATAAAACCTAAAATATTGGGTATTTGTAGTGTTATGTAGATAGTACATAATTTTTTTGTTCATCGCCAGTGTATAGGAATATAACTGATTTTTGTGTACTGGTCTTACATCCTGCAGCCTTGCTAACCTCCTTTATTAGCTCTAATAATTTTTGTGGATTCCTTAGGATTTTCTGTATACAAGATCATGTCATCTGCAAATAGAGATAATTTTAGTTCTTCCTTTCCAATCTGAACTTTTCCCCTTGCTTAATTGGTATAGCTAGAACCTACAGTACAATGCCGAATAGAATTGGTGACAGGAGACATCCTTGTCTTTTTTCTGATCTTGGGAAAGCTTTTAGTCTTTAACCATTAAGTATGATGTAAGCTGGTTTTTCTTAGTATATGTGCTGCCGAAGTGAGTACATTAGCTGGTTTTTCATAAATACCATTTATTAGGTTGAGAAAGTTCACTTTTGTTCCTAGCTTGTTGAGTGTTTTTATCATGAAAGGATTTGGATTTTGTCAGATGCTTTTTCTGCATAGATTGAGATGATCATGTGGTTTTTATTCTGTCACTTGGTGTATTACATTGATTGATTTTTGTGTGTTGAACCAACTTTGCATTCTTGGGGTTAGTCTCACTTTTTACTTTCTCTCTCTCTCTTTTTCTCCCTCTCTCTTTTTCTCCCTCTCTCTGGTTCATTGAGGTTTTTTGCGTTGATATTCATAAGGGTTATTTATTGGTTTGTAGTTTTCTTATGATGTCTGGTTTTGGTATCAGGGTAATACTAGCCTTCTAGAATGTGTTGGGAACTATTCCCCCCTTTCTATATTTTAGATGTTTGTGAGGGATTGGTGTATATTCTTCTTTAAATATTTGTTAGGATCCACAACTGAAGCCATCTGAGCTTATTGTTGTGAGAAGATTTTTAATTACTAGTTCAATCTGTTCATTTGTTATAAGTCTATTCAGATTTTCTATTTCTTCCTGAGACAGTTTCTGTAATTTGTGTCTTTCTAAGAATTTGTCCATTTCACATAGCTTATCTAATTTGTTGGCATATAGTTGTTCATAGTATTCCCCTGGAATCTTTTTTATTTTTGTAAGACTAGTAGTACTGTCTCGTTTCATTCCTGATTTTATTCATTCAGTCTACTTCCTTTTTCCTTGGTCAGTCTAGCTAAAAGTTTGTCAATTTTGATAATCTTTTCAAAAAACCAACTTGTTTTGTGATTTTTCTCCATTGTTTTTCTATTTTGTGTTTCATTAATTTCCACTCGGTATTATTTCTTTCCTTTTGATTGCTTTGGAATTAGTTTCCTTTTTTTTTTAGTTTCTTTTTTTTTTTTTTAACCAGTTTTGTTTTTTTTTTTTAAAGATTTTTATTGGGGAATTGGGGGATGGGAACAGCGCTGGGGAATTGGGGGGAGGGGAACAGACAAGTTGCTGTCCTTTTGTTCTTCAGTCTAGTTGTGGAGGACGTTGCTTCACTGGCCCAAGGTGGCACGTTTTTTGGTTAAAATAATATTTTCTAGTGTACCACTTTAATTTCTGTCTTGTTTCTTTTATTATATTTCTTTGAGTTATTTTCTTAGTGGTTGTCCTAGGATTACATTCAGCATCTTTATTTGTAACAATCTAGTTCAAATTAATACCAACTTAATTTTAATAGTACAGCTTTGTTTTATATAGGTCCTTTCCCTTCCCCTCCCCATCTTTTGTGCTGTTATTGTCATAAAACATACATATTTATACATTGTATGTCCATCTACACAGATTTGTAATTATTGCTCTATGCAGTTGTCTTTAAGATAGAAAAATATTAAACCCAAAATACACTTACACTATCTTTTATATTTACTTAATGTAGTTACTTTTCCTGGTGTTCTTTATTTCTTCATGTGGATTTGATATACTGTCTAGTGTTCTTTCATTTCAGGCTGAAGGAACCTCTTTAATATTTCTTAATAGGACAGGTATACCACTGATGAACTCTTTCAGTTTTTGCTTATTTGAGAATGTTTTAATTTTTGCTTCATTTTTGAAAGATAATTTTGCTGAATATAGAATTCTTAGTTGTTAGTCTTTTTCTTTCAGTACTTTGAATATGTTAACTCTACTTAACCTATAGATCCTGCTGGTATAGAGCCTCAAGGTCAGTCAGAGGTAAAAAGTTTAGGGCCCTTTTCAGGTTTTTCCTAAACATGAGTATAGCCCGAGGCATGAACATGATCTTCTGGGTGCTCAGGATATCCCTGAGCTTTTCTAAGCCCTTATGCACATGTCATTCCCCAGCTTTTCCTATTAAGCTTTTTGGTTAGCCTATTGTTTGCCTTAAATGTTGTGTACTGCCTCAGGGGGCCCTCAAATTAATCAATTACCTTTAGTTATTTTTGACAAAAAACAAAAAAAATTTTTTTGACATAGGGAGTGCGTACAGGCAAGATGTTTTGCATTGAGAGCTCAGAGTTGGGACAGAAAAAGACATCCTCCCCTGTGGCTGCTGGGCTGCTGATTTCATTCTGATTGCATGTTATTGATGGGAGAGTGGTGGGAATAAGCCAAATTAAAACACCACAAATGTCACTGTTGTTTTTCCTGACTCACGCTCCCAAGATTGCGTCAAGACTTTGGTTAATTTCCAGAGCTGAACAAAGTTGATTCTGACAATTTTTTGCCTTTTTCTTGGTGCTTTGATGGAGCAGAGACTTTCTGAAACTCTTTTTCTCTACAATTTTTGCTGACATTACTCCTTCTATTCCTTTTGAGAAGACTTAACACTTATTCCAATTCCCATTCCTTTGTATGTGATCAGTTTTAGTTATGAAGTTTTGTTGTTTTGTTTGTTTTAACTGAAGCTTTTAAGATCTTCAGCTCTGTTCTGAAATTTCATAATGACATGACTTGGTGTAGGCCTTTTCTTATTTACTGAGCTTGGCCCATTAGAATTGAGAATTTCTGCTGTTTCCTTGATACTTTCTTCTGTACTGTTTCTCTTTCTGATAGTCATATTTGGAGAATGTTGGCCTTCATGAAATGATCCTCTATTTTTTTATATCTTTTTTCTCCTGTTTTTTATCTCTAACTTTTAATCCTATTCTATGAGATTTCCCTGACTTTAACTTCTCTTCTATTAAATTTTTAATTTCACTGTTATTATAAACTTCCAAGAACTCTTTATTTTTTTATTCTTTTTTTATAGCATTCTGTTCTAGTTTTATCTTTTTATCACTCTGGTGATATTAATAACTTTTAAAAAAAAATTAATATGTCTGCTGTGTGCACTGTTATCTCTGAATTTCTTTCTTCTGTTTATCTCTCTTGGCTGTTCATTTAAAAGAGTGAAACACAAATAAATATATGGCAGTACCATCTGTTTGCTGAAAAAGTATTGTGCACGTGTCACTTTTTTTTAAAGCCCAGATGCTAATGTGTGTCTAATTTTTGGTTAGTTATGTGTCAGCTACTTGCCCACGAGGTTTAATTGGTTCAAAATACATCCCTTACATCTTCTTTGGGGCTTTAATAAGTTATGCTACAGCAGGATCTTCCTTGCACCTTTTTTCTGCTTCTGGTTCTTGTGCTTTAGCTTACTGATCTGCAGATGCTTTCCATTACTTGTCATCCATCACTGCATGGCTCAAAGTTCACTGAGCTCCTAGGCACTCAGCAGAGACTCATTCTGTGCTGGTGGACAGGCTTTGCTCAGGGGACCTGTTGGTTTGGTTTAAAGAAAGGTTCGTAATAACCCAGAGTTTCCACTTCTAGGTATGTGTATACTCTGAAGGTTTAAAAACAGGTATTTAAGAAAAACGTATACATGGATGTTCATAGCAGCGTTATTCACAATAGTCAAAAACTGAAAATAGCCCAAAGGCCCATCAGTTGATGAATGGATCAACAAAATGTGATATATCCATCCAATGGAATACTATTTGGCCATAAAAAGAATGACGTATTCGTACCTGCTACAACATTGAAAACATTATGCAAAGTGAAAGAAACCAATCAACAAAGGCCATATATCATGATTTTAGTTATATGAAATATCCAGAATACGCAAATATAAAGGGGCAAGAAGTAGACTAGTGGTTGTTTTAATCAATAAAGACTCCAGGGTTTCTTTTTGATGTAATGAAAATACTCTAAAATTGACTGTGTTGATGGTTTCCACACATCTGTGAATATATTTAAAAATGTTGAGTTGTACACTTTAAATGGGTAAATTGTATGATATATAAATTATATTTCAATAAATCTGTTTTAAAAAACTCATAAGGATCTTGAAAAGACTGTTCTAGAAGCCCCAATTTAAGCCCTACCTGTAGACGAGGCTCTGCCTCTCCTGTTGCTTTTCCTCCTTACATCCAAGGTCACATGACTGCATCCACTCTTGTTAGATCTTTACGTGTTAAATGCTTGCTTTAATTTTCTTCAGGAGAGCTTTCATCCACATCACTTATCCTAGACTTTCAAGGTCAAGACCTGGGTTTTCCCCCCCATTCTTTAGTTTGTTCAAATTACTGACATTTTTCACCTTTTATCCCTCTGCTGAAAATCTTGTGAAAGAATTACTTTTTTTCTGCGTTATAACTCTAGTTGCTCTCAGATTTTGTGTTTAGTCTCTATTCAGTAAATCATGTAAATGTTATAGCCACATGTCTTTTAAATTAAAATATAAATGTCTTGGTTCATTTACTGTTGATGATTTTATAAACTTGACATTGAAAAGCTGTCGAGTAAGAGATTTCAGGAGCTCTGGGTGAGTTCAGGGTTAGTAAATTTCCTGCCTTCAGAGCTGTCATCAAGTTAGCAGAGGTTCATTTCCCTTGGACCTGAAATTCATATGAACTAGCTGAGGGAGCCCAGTGTTACCAGGAACAGGAAGTTAGGAATGGCAACTCTTGGTTAGATGACATTGAGAACTGGTAATTTCATGCATGGAAGAGAAAACTTTAAAAATAATTGGCTAACTTCTCTTCCTCGGCCCTCCTGTTGACATTACTCCACTACCTGTCTCTTTCATAATCTCTTTCCTTTTGCTTGCTGTAGGCTTATGATCATTCCCATGAGTCAAGATTTTTTTCTTCAAGTTATTATTATTTTTTAAAGATTTTTATTGGGGAATTGGGGGATGGGAACAGCGCTGGGGAATTGGGGGAAGGGGAACAGACAAGTTGCTGTCCTTTTGTTCTTCAGTCTAGTTGTGGAGGACGTTGCTTCACTGGCCCAAGTTGGCACCATCATTGTGCTCTTCCCGGGGGAGGCAGATCAGGCTCCAGCTTCTGGATGGCCGCTCACGGCAGCTTGAGGGCCGCTCATGGCAACCCACTGCAGAGGGGCTGCAGCCTACGCCGTCACCGGTGACTCACAGCAGCCCAGCTCCAGGTTGAGCTGTTGTTCAGCATCTTAGCTGTAGAGGGCAGTGTCACTGGCCCTCATATGTGGGATCCGAACTGGGGCCCTCTGGCGTCCCAAGCCAGCTCTTAACCAACACGCCACTCGGCCGGCCCTCTTCAAGTTATTTTAATCAGAGAATTTTAAAATTTAATTTTCACATCTCTTTCTCAATATATTTGTCATAAAGAGTGCCATTCTTCTTGTCTTAAATATATACAGACCAAATGTCTGTCTCTCCCTTTATTCCCTCCCTCCCTGTTCCCAAAGAACTCAGATCCTCTGGTATAATATCATCTCTTACAACTCTCTTGGAAACTCTTGACCAGCTTTAAAATCTATTGGTTGCAGTTTATTGTATTTCGGGCTGCAAAGCAGAGGTTACCTTTATCAGTTTTTAACTATATTCCTATGGCTTAGTTTACCCCCTTCACCTGTAAGACTCTCAGAGTCACCTCTGTCCTTTCTGCTTCACTCTGCTTTTCTCATACTAGCCTATGGCTAGAAATCAACTTCTTGTTTCATACCTAGCGGGTGCTATAGCCTTTCTGGCCAGAGGTTAAGGCAAACCAGGAAGTATTTACTGACTTGTACCTTTTTATTTTCATATCTATTCTTTTTTTTTTTTTAGCTGAGCCATCCTGCCACCTGTTGGCAGCTCAGCGACTGCTCAGCGCGGGCCGGCAATCGAACTGCTGTTGCTCAGAGCTCACACTCTTGGGCGAGCTCTTACCCAACTGAGCCACTCGGCCAGCCCTCATATCTATTCTAATATGTGTTTTACTTAGTATTCACAGAACCTTTAGGCATCATAGTCATGTTACCAGCAAATGTGCAGCAAAGCATGAAATTAAAGGATGAATAATTAACAGATTAATGGGTCTCAGAAAATATGCAGAGCTCTTTACTCATCTTACTAAAATAAATCTCTTCATAGGGCTTTGAATTCATGGCCAACACAAATTTTAAGCATAATGCTACACACAGGTTCTTAATAAAGTCCTTGTATATTTTCTTACTGCAATTATCTAACTGTAGATAGATCAGAGGCAGGTCTTCAAATGGTATTTCAAAGCAGGTTTTTATTTAATAAAAAATTGAAATAGCTGTTTAATTTTCATTGTGAAAGTAATATACAGCAGATCCTCGAATAATATTTATTCAACATCATTTAGTTATAACTAAATGAGATGCTGTAGGAACTTAGCTCTTGTTTTTATCAATTAGTCTTACAGTAAAATTGGTTTCCTTATATGTCATTAGTTTACTTAAATAGTCCCCTATTTAGGTTGTAATCCAGTTTTGTCTATTCTCCATAGTGCTGTGATGGGAATTTTCACACATTCTTCGCATACTTTTCTGATTACTTTTTTAGGATAAACATTGTTGGGGCAAAGGGTTCATGCGTTTTTCATCTGGTTGCCAAACTGCCCACGAGAAAGGAATAACAAATTTATTCCTACACCCGAGATAGGCTTAGTTTCTGCCATATACTGTCCTACGCACTGTTAGTGTGACTTCAGTAAAGACACACAAAGCCACAACATTAAATTTGTATTATGATGGAGTTTACTGTGTATTAGGATTCTACACATTAGAGGCGTTAAGTCCAGCAGTGAGGGAAACATTTACATTTGCCACTTGGATTGCATGGTATTCGTTTTGAAAAGCCATACTCCAGCCAGTGGTTAAAGTGTGCACTGAGGATGCGTTGGTGTTCTACTATTTATGGCACTTGGTCATAGAGAGCATGATCCTTTCTCATCTCAGATGAGTGACCGAGGAGGTGGTGTTCCTTTGAGGAAAATTGACAGACTCTTCAACTACATGTACTCAACTGCACCCCGGCCTCGTGTCGAGACGTCTCGAGCAGTGCCCCTGGTATGTATGTGATCAAGAAATAATGATGTGTGTTCTTGTGAGTTGCCCAAAAATAAATTATTTACCAAGTACATCAGTTAAGCCATTGTGTAGGATATACCACAAGGGAGAAGGGAAGCTGTTAGAAAAAGACACTTTCCTCTAAATTTAAACAGCCTTTAGTTATGGTTTTTTTTCTTTTGATTGAAGAGCATAAAACAAAGAGTATTGTTTTAAAGGTTCTCTTGCCAAGCGTGACAGTGACATGTCAGTAGTTTTCATGTGGTAAACTGCATTTTGATACACTGTTTCTAATGTGGGACTAAATTAGCAGTTTTACTGGTATTTGGTCCACGCTGATTTAATTGTCAGTGTTGACTTTTTTTCCCCCTTAAGCACTTATAATTAGAAAGCTCTCATACTCTAGACTCAGAAATAAGCCTAGAGTTCTGATCAGTTTACTCACAACCTGGTAATGGCTCAAATTATAATTGTTTTGCTGGTATTTTTTTATTTTTATTTTTGTTACCTATTTTCAGGTTTATTAAGATTAGCTTTAAAAAAAAAAAACTTTATTGGGGAACAGCCATGGTCATTGGCCACACATTGCTTCCATGCTACAATGGCATAGCTGACTCTTCTAAGGAGGGTGCAGCTCACAGTGGCCCATGCGGGGACTGAACCGGCAACCCTGGTTTTATCAGTACCACACTTCAACCAACTGAGCCTAACCGGTCACTCCCAAGATTAGCTTTTAAATTGACTCCATCCTTGTCCTCCAAACTGCAGGAAAGTGCTTTGCCCAATCTCTGACCTATAATTCTGGAAGAACTGCTCTTCTAAGCTTTGAAACTTGTCTGGCATACACACTGGAGTTGTGCTGGAACATGAAACACAGAATAAGATGGATCTACTTTAGACTTTTTCTAGGAAGTTACTAAAAGAACTTCATTCTAATAGTTTTACCTGTTAGATAGCACAAATCCTGTAGCTACAACTGTAATGTAGTTCATGTCTTACCAAACTTAAAATGCTCCAGCAGTGTGCTTTTCAAATTGAGATATGTGCATCCGTGTGCCAAGGGCAGACAAGGTCAAATAATAAATATCAGCATCTTCTTAGATTCTGACTTTATCCTAAGAAGTAAGGGGTGTGATGGGATGTGCTGCTTTTGTAATAAATATTTTCTTGGAGAGTGGGGTAGCATACTAGTCCAGACTCGGGACCAAACTGTCTGGTTCCATTCCTGACTCCACTGCATCCTAGCTGGGTAGCTTTGGGAAAATTATTGACCTTTTAATACCACAGTTTCCCCAATTGTAAAAATTGAGTTATTGTTAGGATTAAGAAAGTTAATATATGTAATAATACTTTTTATAGTGCCTGGCACACAGTAAATACTATTGGGTTGTTGGAAAAGTCATGATGTATTTTTTCTATGATTTTCGTTGCAAAAATGCGTCATGACTTTTCCGACAACCCAATATATAAGTGTTTGTTTAGGATGCAAAATTTATGTGAATTTTTAAGAAAACAGGAGGCTTGACACGGCACAGGCTCCCCTAAGATCCTACACAGCCTTACCAAGGGGAAGACTGTTGTTAAGCTTTCAGAGCCTCTTTCCTGATGTCACGGCCACTTTGTGAGTGGACCCAGTCAGCATGCACAGGGGCAGCTGGAGAAAGGCTGCCTGATACCCACATCAGGGGGCACCTTGTCTGCCTGATTCCTGAGAGCTTCGTCCACGTGGATGCCTTCCGGGGGGCAGCTACATGGATGGAATAGCTTCACACTGTAAGTCCATTCAGAGACCATCCACACTTCCCTTTTCTAGACCTCCTCATCAGCTACCCAATGCTGTTCTTTCTAAATGCTTGACCAGCCAGCTTGTTTGCCACTGCCCGTGACTCCATGTAGCTGGTCCACCTTGAGTGGTGCCCACTGGAAGGATTTACTTTCCCTCCTGCCCCTGAGAGAGATGGTGGTGGGGAAAGGCAGCCCACTTCTGGCTGGTGCTGGCATATAGGAGATCCATCAGTGTGGATCAGGCCCGTGCTGTTCTTCTCTGTGAGCTGTGAGCCTAGGGGAGGCCCCACCAGTGCACAGGTGTGGTTGTGGGAGAGGCAGTGATAAAACAGATCGGGCACCAGCGGGTCCTGCGCCACCTGCCGTGCAGTTTTCTTGGGGCCATTCCTGGAACTAGTTAACTTTATCAGTCAGGGTCCCAACAGAACAAGAGATAGCTCACTCAAATTATGATAAGGAAGGCTTATTTACAAAGAGACAAATTGCAGAGCTATGAGTAGATAGTACAGGAATCCAGGGCTCCTAGGAGTAGAGCTGTCACCACCCAGAATCAAAGGGAAAAGGAGAGCTGAGCAGAGCCCGGAAGAAGGGAAGACTGCAGACGCAGCTGCTTACTATCAAGGGGCCCAGCCTGCCCAAGCGAAGCAGCTTCAACCGGCGGGAAGCAGGGGAGTGACTCCTGTTGAACTCCTACTGGGTTCCCCCTTGGCGGGACCCACTGGAAGCAGAAGGCACAGGAACCCACTGACATCACCCATTCAGATCAGCCTCCCAGAGCAAGGAGGAATGTTGGAGAGTGGATAGTTGGTTTGGAAGGCTGAACAGATACTCGAGTCAGAAAAATCAAGTAATAAATAGTGGAGGTAGGAAAAACTGGAGATTGAATTTGTTAATAGTGCTCTGATTCCTGAATCCACGTGAGCCCTTAACTACAGCATAATATGGAATATCATTGAATATCTGACTTGGTTATAAAACCCATTTTTACATTTATCTGAATGTTTTGCTTTGTATTTAAGAATTGGTAGGATTTATCTAGGTAAAGAAGGCCATTCCGGAGACTGGGAACAGGATGAACAAAGACTCGGAAGTGAAAAATAGCATGACATGTTTGAGGAACTTAAGAGCAGGACATTTAGTTTAGCTGGACCGGGAAGTGGAAGGCAGAGACTTGATCTTATCAGATGTTGAAAGTTCTTTTTAGAAGCTTGGATTTTTATCTCAAGGCAGTGGATTGGGGATAAGGGGTGGGAGGTCTGTGCTTTGAAGAGTTTTAAGCAGGGAAGTGACTTGTCAGTGAGAATTAAGAAAGTAGGCCTATTATGGATCTCTTCCAGGTTCAGAACACAGACTGGAAATTCATGGTATGAAATCATGAGATATATCTTTTAGGATGCAGCAAGGCTTTTTCTACTCTTGCTTCTAAAAGAGAAGAGAGAACATGTTTTATATGAAATTTCCCAAAGCAGTGTTGGGATACTCTAGAGCAGGCCTGTGAAGTAAAGCAACATGCTTTTTCCAACCCCCACAAGGCACTTCTAGAAAAAGAATGAACACTTCTAAATGACCAGAGCGGGGTCCTCTAATGTGGTGCTTAGCTGCGTTCCAGCTTGATCTTTATGAATACTTAGGTATTAGCAGGTCTCTTAGATGCCAGGCTCTGATAGCCCTGGGGCACTCAGTTGCATTTATTTTCATTAAAAAAATATTTCAGTATGTGGCTTTCTGAACAGAATTTTGTTTTTCTCATGTCACAGGCTGGTTTTGGTTATGGACTGCCCATCTCACGTCTCTATGCACAGTACTTCCAAGGAGACCTAAAGCTGTATTCCCTAGAGGGCTACGGGACGGATGCAGTGATCTACATTAAGGTAGCAATGCTAGTCTTCTTGCGGGAACAAGACTTCATTCGATTAGAAGAAAAAATGCCAATATTTATAGCTGAAATGAAGTTTTCCTCTACCTCATGATATTAAAGTAGAAGTCTATGGCTTTTTATATGGGACCTCATCTGTTTTGACAAATGATCTCCTTGACTGTGGGAAAAGAAATGCTGTCATTGTCATGATCAGGACTATGGTTGTTAATAGGAAAAATGTTGGGTTAGAGTGGGGAATCATAAAAAGTTTTATATCTTACAAATTTAGTTTTTACATAAAACACATTAATGGACATTGACCCATGAGTCTTTTGATGTACTGCCAAGGTCTTTTCTCTGTATAGGGATGTGCAGATTGAAGTTTCAGTTGTCTTTCTTGTAGAAGCTGTACTCAAAGTGCATTTTTTTGTTTGTTTTGTTTTGTTTCTTTAACAAAGGAACAACCAGGTACACAACCCTTTTTGGTTTTTATGTGGTCCTTAACAGATGTCTTCTACTGATTTGACAGCAATTTTTATGTGACTTTCCTCCATGAGTCTTTCCAAAAACATTTGTCTTACTTTTTGAAGAACTCTCCGCCTTTATTTTGGCACTTTAAGTAATGCTGGATTACATTTTGTATTTACAGCGACAGATGCAATTGCATAAGCAGATTTAGGAGCAAGCACAGGCTGGTGGTAAGCCTGTAGCTCACCAGGCTGGAGAGGCACTTAGCCTACGCGCCTGCGATGTTCCCTGTGGTTATGCAGAGATCAGTATCTTTTCCAGGGATGGAGAGCACCAAGCTCCATCTGTTCACTAGATTGGTTAAGCGGTGGGCTGTTGGTGCCTAATTATTTAATGACTAGTTTCTTGTTATGGCCACTAGATGGCAGTGAAGACTTTATATTGGAAAAAAAATTTACCTGAAAAGGTTAAATTCTTTCAAGATAATAGTTCTTTTTTTCTTTTTTTAACCATCTCAATTGTAAGGAACTTAAAAAGGACAGTGTGAAGGCAATATTTTTATCACCAATTGTAACCTCTTTGATCCAGCCAAAAAATCAAAGGGTGCTGGTAGTTCTGGCATATTTAAAGAGAAAATATAGATGAAAGGTTTTTAGTTCCATTTTGGAAAAAATAGATGACAGTCTTACAGAATCATTAAAATCATCAATGTCAAAGACCTTCCTTCACATTATCACAGTGAAATTTACAGCTGAATATTTTCTACATCTTGGAGAATGCCTGTGTCGTTTTGTTTTGTTTTTTTTTAAGATTTTATTGGGGAATTAGGGGAGGGGAACAGCGCTGGGGAATGGGCGAGGGGGGTTAGGGGTGGGGGGGAAAGGGGAACAGACAAGTTGCTGTTCTTTTCTTCAGTCTAGTTGTGGAGGACGTCGCTTCACTGGCCCATGTTGGTATTATCATTGCGCTCTTCCCGGCTGAGGCAGATTGGTCGCCGGCCTCTGGACGGCCACTCCTGGCGACTCTTAATAGCTCACACTGGCTGCCAGCCACTCCCAGTAGCCAAAGGCAGTCCACTGCCACAGGGGCTGCAGCCTACACTGTCGCCAGCAACTCACGGCAGCCCAGCTCCAGGTCAAGCTGTTGTTCAGCATCTTAGCTGTAGAGGGCAGTGTCACTGGCCATCATGTGGGATCCGAACCGGGGCCCTGCTGTTCAGAGCTGGTGTCCCAAGCCAGCTCTTAACCAACGTGCCACTCGGCCGGCCCGAATGCCTGTGTCTTAAGGTTGAAATTCTACTGAAATACCCCAACTTGGAGAAGATAATGAGGAACATAGTTTATCTAGGTTCCAGTGATACACAGGAAGTTGAAATAGAATAGTGAATTAATTGTAATGATATATTGGAAACATGAAATTATGCATGCTGCAGAAATCATATACGCTGTAACTGAAATTGCTGGCTTTAATGGCAGGAGGAAAAGACACAGGATCAAACCCAGGGCCAAGAATGGTTCATTCAAAAGCCAAGATGCCTTAGACATAGTTTTATATTTATTGATAATAGTATTATATTGAATCTTTAAAAAGACAGTGACTATACTGAAAAAATATTTTTCTAATAAGTAATTAAAATAGAGTTCATTAAATGATTGTACCATTATATTAAGGTGCATATGTCAATTTTTATGCTTTTATAGTTACATGACTTTTTCAGTTAACCAGTTTGTTTCTGGGTCGTGTTTTATAAAAGGTGTTTATTACACCTGTGTAAGATTTCAGTCTAGCAGCTTCCTGGCTGGCTGGAGAATTCCTGCAAGCTACAAACCAGTCCATATGCACGCCAGGCAGTGCCACAGACTTAGTAACACATTTCAAATATGTGCACTGTTTTACAATGTATGGAGACAGTATTACGATTAATCAAATACAAAGCCAATGAATTGTTGTTTAATTGGTACTAACCTTATTGCTACTGTATAGTTTCTCAAATAATGGATCCTAAAAACATGGCCATACTTAGGTTCTGCTTTTCTTTCAGGCTCTGTCAACAGAATCAATAGAAAGACTCCCAGTGTATAACAAAGCTGCCCGGAAGCATTACAACACCAACCATGAGGCTGATGACTGGTGTGTCCCCAGCAGAGAACCAAAAGACATGACAACATTTCGCAGTGCCTAGATATGCTTGGGACACCTGGGAATTCCAAGTGTGGCTTTTGTATTAGATTTGGAAGGGATGGTGTTCAGAACTGCATTATACCAAATACTTCATGTATCCTTTTCACAGTAACTATTTGGGTAGAATAAATGGAATCTGAGTTCCATTTATGCCTGTTAAATCTCCTGTCAAACCTACCTATTTGACGCTTATATTTTCACAGTTAATTGAACATATTTTTAAATAACTGTAGTTTCGGTCAACTTTTCTCTTTAAGGTAGACATCAGAAGAGTGGAAGTCTTTGGGTTTCTACAGGAAGCTGTGTGGTTTTTAAAATACAATTTTCATTTAAGTCTGCTGGAAACATTTCCTTAGTAATACTGATAAGCTAGTTAGCCATCTTTCAGTTATTTGGAGGAGTTCTGCCATCCTTTATGTATTATAGTAGTGGCAACTGTTATAAGATAGTCTTCACATACCAGTGACCAATTGCAGGTAAAGCCGAACCAGTTGTTCTGTTAGGACAGAACCAGCCACCTTTCAGCATCTGCATGCATTATCTTAGCTCTGAAGTTAATTTATCATTTTAAAATTTATTGTGAAAGATTGTCATGACTAGTTCCGTATGGATCTAAGCCAAGATCATGGGCAGTCTACTTTGAATGTGCTTATGATTAATGCAAGGGGAAATTTTCCTTAAAATTTCCTAAAAAAATTTCCTAAAATTTTCCTAAAAACAAACTAGCAACTGCTGATTTTCTAGAGAAGAAATTGAGGGCAAAGCACTGAGTCCCAAAATCTGAACATTACTGAGATTACCTAGAGGAGCTTTTGAGGAGCAGAGCCTTTCTGGGTCCTACTGCATACATGCTGAATTAGACTCCACAGCTAGAGCCCAGGAATCTCTAAAAATGCTTCCTAGGTGAGTCTGATGCATCATCTAGTTAGGGAACCATTCTTTTAAAATGAGTAATAATAATACCACATTTACTAAAGTAACAGATATCTTTAGGTTTTGGTTTTGACCTTTTGAAAGGTGAGACTATTAGACTGTAGGGTGGCAAAGTGAATCTCAAGCCTGGTACAGTTAGGAGCATAGTTAGAAGCAGGAGATAAGATGATTACTGGAGAACAATAGCCAGATAACCGAAGGATCAGAACCCTAAATGCACAAATCTTGACAAAGAACATACATTTTATAAGAAATATCTAGACTTTGTTATCAGGAAAAAAGCCAATTTGGGCTTATCGCAGCAATCCTTGCATTTGTGTGATAATTTGTAGTCTACAGATACTTTGGTATGTTAATGATAGCTCCATCGGGCTTTAAAACAGAAAGATACAGAGCAGGTGATATCATCCTTGTGTTGGGACTCAGAGTGGGGCCCAGAGTTGCACAGAATTGGAGCCAGGGCCCAAGCTGTATATGCTGGTCACGCCGTCAGCCGCCAAACCTGGGAGACCATGAAGTTAGGAGACTATGTTGTTAGTCATAGCTCATCTTTAAGGTGACGGAAAAACAGTGACAATAAATTTTAAAGTAAGATTTTAAATGTTTAAAGAACAGCTTTACTACTTAAAGGAGGGAACTTTATCTATCTGGAAAATGCATTTAGTTGAAACACCTCACTCTCAAAAGGATTACATAAGCTTAACAATTCTATATAAATGTGTAAATTGGGAGGGATGTTAAAGGACAGTTAGGCCAGAACCCTGATATGACAGATGGTGATCCTGAGACTCAGGGTATGTGGTTTGCCCAAGGCTTCTTATCTAATCTGACCAAATGTAGGAAAAAGAGGTCTTTTATGTAACCTATTGTTCCTTATACATTTTGTGAGAAACAATAGGATATGCTAATAGATGATTTTTATTAGTTCAATATAATTTTTTAGCTTTAAATTACACTTTTCTTGTAATGATAAAATTTTTAGACTCCTTTGAATCAAAGTTATCTACTTTCTTTCCTAAACAAGACATTTGTACAACTGACATAAACTTGATGTTTTTACGTATGAAACGCTCCCCCCCCCAAAAAAAAAATTTTTAACCTTTTCCTCTTTATTTAAGAGCTAAGAAATGGCGTTTTCAAAGGAAAAGTGAAATCTTTTCCTTTAGCTTCTTTTTTGGTATAATAATGGCTCTTTACTTTGTTGTGGTAATGGACAGAAAATTACATAGAAAAATATTTCAGAGAAAGCTTTTTCCTGGTTGGTTTTAAATCATTGTGCCACCTGAAAAGTTTTTAGATTTTTTACACTATTTTGTCTACCAGCATTTAAATGTGATGCCATGTAGATATAGAAATATACTGAAGGATAAGAATTGATACTAAGTGATTTTTATAACCTGGGCATTTAGGGAATGTGCCAACGTTTTTTAGAAAGAATCGCAAAAATATTCTGCCCTGTACTTAAAATACTGGCTGGCTTTAGATATCTTCATGCTCAATAGCAATCACTTTCTTGCACTGTGAAGTTTTTACATGAAGATGTTGAGGTGGGAGTCTACCATGTTATTTTATAAAATGTTTTGTGAATGGCAATAAACTGAAAACATGAATCAACTCTTAGTTTGAAAATTGAATTGGGTCAATTTAGATTTTGAAAATACAATTGTTTTTTAAATAAGTCTTTCATCATCCAGGCTCAATGTTCTGTAAACATTCAATAGTTTGTAGTTAGTTGGCTTGCATTAAATCTCACAATCTTCAGTAGAGGAAGGATTTGAAACTTAGATTTCCAATGTGTGTATTCTAATGGAGAAAGCCAGAGGGAGCGTTTGTATGGTTTGAGTTATCCTAGATTTTCATTATCCAAACACCCACAGGTGACTTATTGCATAAATGAAGATCTGTTGTGTGATTTTTGAAAGGGTATATTTAAGTGCTCTTCGATTAACTTTTCACAATATAATTGTAAAAAGATTTTCATTGAACCAGTATTACCCCTCTGCTTGTACCAGTTGAAAGTCATACCTAAACTTTTCAGGTCAAAGATAGATTCCTATCCTATTCCTGATTGATGGGACAGGACCACAATGTCCCTTTATTGTTAAAGCCAACAAGTTCCATAACAGAACACAGATCAAGAACTAGGGACACAAACTCTTAGTGTTATGATTCCTCTATGGCCTTGTGGCTAATCAGAGAGGAAGCCAAGTGTCAGTCAACCAGTTTCAGTTTATGCCTTCAATTGCTGTGACATAAATATGAAGTCTTAACAGATGAGTATCAGGGTTGAGTTAGCTCATTTGCACACATGGCTTTTGCTGGAGAAACTTTTCATCGTATATGATTAACTGCTGGCCCCAATAATTAACTTTCTTACAGTGTAGCCCAATGCACTTGAAAAAATACTATAATATAGTGTGAAGGATTTTATGTGTCAAAAAAGAAGGCACCACTGGTTTGCTTAGTTCTGGCATTTTTAAACTATTGCACCTTTTGTTCTATTTAGATGTTTGGAAAGAATTAGACATCATACCACTCACTTTTTTTAGTCTTCGCATTTCTTTAGCAATCACTAAGGCTTTTAACAGCAAAAGACAAGATTGCCAGTTTTTGGTACAAAACTTTAGTCTTTTTTTCTTGTCTTGGAAAGCCGTTATTTATACCCGGGAATAGTGACAGCTATCTTTTACTTGGTTAAATTAAGAGATTTTTTTAGCAAAAATATAAAATTTTCATTCCAATAAGATAAACCAGAGAAACTTCCATTTGAGTGTTGTTGGAGTTATTTTCTGGAAGTGTAGAAGGGTACTTTCCTGTATTTGTCACATAGAATATTGTTAGAAATTTTGTAGTTTTGAGTTGAAATGTTGACATCTGTTTATAATAAATTAAAAATGATGGAAAATTTTTTTAGGAAAGAGTTTATGAGGCCAGGGCACTTTTAACTCAAATATTAAAAGCTGCAGTATTCCTGCCATGGGTTTATACTTGGTTGTCTTCCATTATGGGATTCGAACACTGGGACTAAAGACAAAAACATAAGCGTCATCCTCAAGTGGCTTTTCTAGGTCATGGAATTAAATTTCTCTTTCCCTGTATCATTTAAGAGCCACTCAGTTGATTGGATTCCATTTTTAGTTAGGCAGTTTGGAGGCTCAGAGATAATTGGATATTTTCATAAACCACATTAAATGGTGTCATTTTGAATTGCTATAATGAAAAAAACACCATGTTTGATTTCAGTCCCAAATTGTGGAAGGTTATTGTGACTTACAGGCAAAACTAAAAAATTTTCTTCCCTCAGACCTATATTTTCGAAATGGATAAAGTTAATAATGGGTATTTTTGAGCTAGCACTCTATATGCATGTTTAATTTCCAATTAGCATATAACAGCACGTGATTTCAAATCAAAGAGAAAGTTATGGTGGAGTTCTGTGTAATGCTATGACTAGTACACTCAGAGCTTCCAGAAGATGATTCTTCAGTGAAAACTGAACACAGTCAAATGGAAGATTCTCTGGTTTTTCTTAGAAGGGGGAACATTGCGATACTTTGGTCAAGTACCTTTAATTTAAAAAGGTAAAAAAGTCAGCTGTTACTACTCTTCAGTGTAAACAACTGTCCTTTTTTCTAAGTATCCTGTTAAACACAATCTGAAATTTTATTTACCATAAAGGAAATAAGACTTTATTTTTCTCTAACTTTTCTCAGAAGCATTCTAAGTGAAATGAATTTGATGTACTGCAATTGGCAGTATTATTGCTGCGGGCACTAAGCTATCCACCGTGCTCGATAAAATAATGACCACACAGGGCCGGCTGAGTGGCTCAGTTGGTTAAGAGCTTGCTCAAGAGTTTGAGCTCTGAGCAACAGCGGTTTGAGTCCAGCCCGAGCTGAGCAGCTGCTGAGTTGCCAACAGGTAGCAGGATGGCTCAGCTAAAAAAAAAAAAAAAAAAGACCACACAAAAGAAATTCAAAAAACCCAAAGAAGTAAAAGGAAACATTCATGGATACTAGGTTTGGGTATGTGCATTTTCTTAAATGCTCATTATCACTGGAAGGCATAATTATCATGCTGTTTGTCCTGGAATATTGGCCCCAAAGTAATCTGAATTATCTTTTCCACAAACGTACGAGGCCCTGTGCTAAATCCGTAGTGTCCTGATGATGAGTACAAGTTGCCACAGGCATTCACTTTCAATTTGTAGCTTTCCAGCTGAATGATCTCTTGTCAATCTCTATCTGTGCTGTGAATTCTGTAATATATTATTTTAGGTTTGTGTCTACTCAATAGTGGCTCTTGATTTGTCTTCTCTGAAATGGGTTGCTGTGTCACTGATGAGTTGTCCCTCTTGTTCTGTAATTATCACGTGACAAATAGGTGTCCAGTATGTTTAGGTATCCCAGCCCTAGCCCCGGATGACCCCTCAGAGCCCTGAGCAGCAGCCACACACCTCCTCCTTGGAGATTCCAGCCACATGTGCTCCTTGTGACACCTGGGTTTTTGTAACATGTCTTCTTCCCTTTTGTTCTGCAGCCTTGGATGGGACTGAAACATTTTTTTCTTGCAATTATTAATCTTTGGGTTACTTCACAATGGCCTTTTTGCTCTTTCAGTTTTCTATCATCATAATCAATTCCCTGCACTAAATCTCCCCTAGTTGAAATGATTTCTGTCTTATTATCCCTCACCAATACAGCTGTAAAAATATCAAACCCATATCTAAAGTATTATTTCAACAGCAGAGGAAGGTTTTTTGAAATTCCATGTTTGATTTCAAGTACAATACTTGTTAGAATCTTGGAGTTTTGGTAGCATAAAAATTGAATGATTTACTTTCAATAATCTGAAAATTGAACCAATAAAATCAGATTGAGGGTGGAAGAAGGAAAAACAAACCCTTTAACATTGCACTTAGCAATGGTTTAGATTCATGATTAATAAGTCCATAGTTAAATCTGGAGTATAAAATACTTTATAAAAACACCTCAAATTACTAGTAAGGTCTTCATATTATTTGTGATCCTCTCACTGAGTGTTTTCGTCTTCCTCTTCAAAACAGCCAAGAGGAAAACCACAAATTACCAAAACAACCAGAATTAACTAGGTAATCTGCAGAGTCCTTTAACCATTAAGGAAGTCTAATTTGTAACTTAAAAACTTCCAAAAAAAAATCAACAGGCCTAACTGGTTTCACTAAAAAAATTCTACCAACATTTAAAGCAATTAATGTCAGTTTCACATAATCTCTTCTAGAAAAATAGCGAGGAGGGAGCCCTTCCCAGCTCACTTTTATAAGGTCAGTATTACTCTGATACCAAAACCAGACAAAGACAGTACCAAAAAAAAAAAAAAAAGAACTACAGACCAGTCTCTCAAAAATTTAGATGCCACAATCTCAACAGAATATTGACAAATTGAATCCAACAATGTATAAAAATAAATATATACCATGACCAAGTGGAGAAGTATATACTGTGACCAAGTAGAATTTATTCCATATATGCAAGGCTGGTTTATTTATTTATTTTAAGCTGGGCCATCCTGCCACCTGTTGGCATCTCAGCGGCTGCTCAGCTCGGGCTGGCAATCAAACCGCTGTTACTCAGAGCTCAAACTCTTGAGTGAGCTCTTAACCAACTAAGCCACTCGACCAGCCCCACAAGGCTGATTTAACAGTAAAGTATCAGTCTGTATAATCTACCATATAAATAGGGCAATGAAGAAAAATCACATGATAGTATCAATTGACACGAAAAAGATTTGACAAAATCTAACCCCATTCAAAATAGCCAAGGGTTCCTACTTTGGGATCTGATGGTGTTGACTCCACTCTCAGGCAACTTTTCTCGTTCTTGACACTCCCCTAGATAAAAATAATGCTTTATGTATCTAACTTTGTGAAGGAGTCAGATTTTAAAAGAAATACATGGATGGAAATGGTATATCAAACAGACTTATTGTATTATAATTTTTCAAGCCACAATTTAAAACTGATTTTTTTCACACAGAGAAAATAGTATTTTTCTAAATAAATAATGTAGTTGGAAATTTCATAATTACTCCTATGATACGTACTCTGTGGGACTAAGCTAATAAGCATAACAGCTCGGTTCCCAGGATCCATAATTATACATTAACATTTGAGTGAATACATTCATTATATAGCCAGGATAGCTATTTCCAGATCCATTGCTAATGTACTTCCTGGCTAAAGCTGAAAACTCTTAAGAGCAATTAACTAATTTCATGAATTAATATCGTTTAGATATCAGTCTCTAGAACTAAATGGAATAATGTATGTAAAATGCTTAGCACATTTCCTGCCATACAGTAAGTACTCAATAAATGATAGCCATTAGTATCAGTATTATAAACTAATGATGTCATGGAGTTTTCTACGTTGAGTACTGCCACAGGTAAATTTTTCTTACTGTAAAGCATTTTCAAGCTATTGATATATTTTTCAAATGCAAGGTTTTATCTGATGGGAATGCTTTTATACTCTTAAGTTCAATCACTACTCTATCAATCCAAGGTTTGATTAAAAGATGGTAAATCAGTAGTTTTTTCCTGTAGAAGACTTGGGCTATCTACATGCTACATATAAA